CTGATGCTTTTCTTTTTGTGGTAGTGTCTAAAGCCTGGAGCCAGAAAACGTAGCGAGGGGTGAAGATCTTGATCTGAGGTGTCCTGGGGGATCTGTGGCCACAGGAGCTCAGGGCTTGGTGGGCTGAGCCGTGTCCCTGGTTCCAGTGCCCCCGGTCGAGCCGGCGGAGCTGCAGAGCGAGGGATGAGAGCAGGGTTTGGCAGAGGCCCATCTTTCTCCCACGCTGAGCTGCTGGCCCGCGCGGAGGGGAGGCCGTTACTCGCACAAAGGGACTCCTGTGATGCTGCTGCCACTCGCTGAACCAGCTGGCAAAGCCTTTTGTTGAGCTTTTTCTGTGTTTTTTTTTTTTATTATTTTTTCGTTGCTCAAGAGCTCACTCCTCTGGCATGGATAACTGCTGTGTCTGGGGCAGGCATGGATGAGGTCAGCGCTCGCTGGCCATCCCGGGACAGAGTCCCCTTTGCCCGGCCGGGGACGAGTCCGCTGGTCAGAATGGGATGCACATCCGTGTCCTCATCCCGTGCTGCGGCTCGCAGCTCGGCTCTGACCGCATGTGCTGGTGTTGTGCAAGAGTGGAAGAGTTTGTTCCTTTGCCCGGCTATTTCATCACTCCGTCCTTGTGCGCTGGGGGCCTCTGCTCTTTCGTGACGTGCATCGTCCCTGCCGTAAGTTGACAAAGACTTGCTTTCTCTTCGGCTGTTCTGGTATGTGCCCAGTATGTGCCCTAATGCTCATTAATGGAAAACCAGAGCCTTGGAGCCTGCCAGAGCAGCTTGACAAAAGCAAATCCCGGCACCGGCTGCTCAGGACTTGCTGCTGGGGTGATCGCACGTCCCGTCAGCCCTGTCGTTGTAGGGGGAATGCAGAGCTATGTGTTTCCTCTGTCTCCTGAAATTTCTCTTCCATCAGACCAGATTTAAATTAAAAGCGAAACTCCCCCACTAAAATGTAAAGTTGAAGTTTTTCCTTCATTGTGTAAAGCAAATGCAAAGAAGCAAAGTGTGAGCTTTGCTTACCTTATCTTTTTAGCGTTTTCTCTGAGTTTCACGACTGTTGAGAACTGTGGGGGCAGACTCACGGCTTGTTAGACCTGGGACCTTGCTTCTCCAGCCCAGGTGTCCCTCTGACATGGGACTGTTTGCACAATTAGCAGCTCTTCTCTGGCAAAGCTCTTGGAGAAGCCTCTGCCTCCTGGGAATGCCCTGGGAACGCCGCCTTGGTACATCCTGCCCTCTCCCTAGCATCACTGAGAGTTAATTCAATTAGGGTGTTATCTTTTTAGCTTCCTGTTAATGGAGGCACTGTCTGCCAAAGTGTTAGCTGTTGATATACAGCTGCTCCTGGAGGACCATGTTCCCTGGGTGGTTGGGACAGCATTATCACCCAAACTGTTAATGCACAGCCACGGGGAGAAGCGGGAACAAGCAGGTCGCAGAGGAGCCTCCGTGCTAATTCCAGAGACAAGGTACCATGCAGACATTTCTGGGTTAATAAGAAATATAGCTAATTGCAAACATAAGATACATGGGAATAGGAGCAATAACAGGAGAAACTTGGCTCTTTGCCCTGCCCTGACTTGCTGTTGGGAGGAGCCCGGTTCGGAGGCTGCTGCCTCTCCAGGGCATCGGTGCCAGGCTCCTGACTGAGGCACCGGGGCCTGGGCGCCGTGCGATAGGGATCCAGGGCTGCCGAGCAAGCAGTGAGGGACCTGATGCAGCACTTGGAGCCAAAGTGCTTTAAACTGCATCCACTTTAACTCTTAGAAAAAAAAAAAAGAAAAGAAAAGAGAGAGAGAGATTCTTTCAGAGATATTTTTAAATAATTCTGGAGAGGGAAAACAATAGGATTATTGTTTCTTCTGTTTCCTTCGTTTTTGTGACTGACCTGGCTGCTCGCGTTGCCGACAGCGAGACTGGCTCTCGGCCTCCTTGCTGCATCCCGTGCCTTGAAGGGGTCCCTGTCTGCCTGCCTCCCGTCTGCCTGTTCCCCCCTCTCCCCAGGAGCTTGGATGTCTGGGCAGTTTTCCCTTTGGAGACTGTGATGTGATCAGCCTCGTGCAGAGCTTGGCTGCAAACCCTTGCTGTTGACATGATTTGCAGGAGTCTCCCCGTACCGACCTCCTTGGTTCCAAAATTCCAGGTCTGCTGTGGCGTGTGCTTCCCTGTGGGGCCTTGCAGAAGGGCACCTTGCGAGGAAACCTGCCTGCCAGGGCTTGGCACGCTTTGGTTTCTGTAGCTCATCTTCTGATGCGTGTCTGGGCATCCCTCCTCACTATCAACATCAGGGCTCATGGGGTGGCTGCGCGTTTTCCCACTAGCAGGGCAGGATGCTCCGTCTGGCTCCTGGCAAGACTCTGTAATTGCTGATCCCCATCCTTCAAACTCCACAGGGGCACGATGGGCTGGAAAGGGTGCAAGAAGCGTTGAAACTTAGCAAACCTGGTGCCTGGGTTCCTCTCAGTGGCACCTCTCAACTCCAAATTTCCCTTTTTCCCCTTGCTGTTAGATGCTGGTCCCTGCTGCAGCGTTAGGTCACGTTGGGCTGTGATGATGGGACTGTCAGCCCGTGACCAAGCGGATGGATTTCTGCAGACGTGGGCTCTGCTAGCACAGGCTGCCCGCCGTGCTTAGGGCCAGCTCTGGCCTCGTTTGCTTCGGAGGGAGATTTTAGCTTTGCTTCAACCACCAGCTTGAGTCTAGTAAGCGGGGGCACTGTCCTTGGCCACTGTCTCCGGTGCTGTGGGATGTGGCAGCCGGGCTGGCCGGGTGCCCACGTGCTCTGCCCTTCCAGCTTGCTGCTTTCCCCACCTTCCTCCTCCTTCCCAGCATTGCTGGGGCCACGCTGGGCTGGGCTGGTGCTCCCAGCAGAGTGGCAAGCTGTGCTGCAGAGCACCAATGCGCTCGTGTCCTGCTCTGCAGCCACCTTCAGCCTTTAAAAAAAGGCAGGAAATGGGGAACTTCCCAAGCTGAAGTCCTGGGTTGCTTTGGTGGGATCACATGGTTGGGAGCTCTGCAAAGAATGTCACTGATTTTGCAAGAACCTTGTGTCCAAGCATGTGTGTAGGGGAGAAAATGCAGCTTGCACTGCTTGTGCCTTGGAGTCTGTTAGTACTCCCAGGAGTGAGAAATCCTCAGGTCACATTCAAAAATCAGGGGAGGGGAAAGCTTCCCGTGACTCAAGTGTTGCGTTGCTTAACAGTCATCAGATGTGTAGTATTTGTGACTTGTTTTGCTCGTCCTTCATCGGTCACAAGCTTTACCAAATCCTTTCCAAGAGGCAGAGTGGGCTCAGAGTCCTTTAGGCTCCTCTTGCACATGGGTGCCGTGCAGTGCCCTGTGTCTCCTGTGTAATCCTCCCTTTTCCCGGCCCAGGGGATGGACAGGAGGACGCTCCGTGCCCACAGCTCTGGTGGAACGGTGCTGGCCACCGCAGCCTGCGGTGACTCGGCCTCTCCCCATCCCGGCCAGGCTCCGTCTGTGGCTTCCAGTAACGTCAGAGCAGTCTCGTTATTGCTGAGTCTGGATTCATTCTCTTTGTTGCAAACGCTTCAAAATTTGTATTGAAAAGAAGCTGTAAACACTGTCTGTTTGTGCTTAGTCTCATCCTGCTTTTGAGATGTGTTTGAGAGTTTCTTTTTTTTTCTTTTTTTTTCCTCCCCGTTGTGTTTGTACGTGTTGGGGGTGGTTTATGTTTTTTCTTGAAATATCCTAGGAAAAATGCCTCATTCTTTGCTCTTGCCCCCTCTCCTGCAAACTTCAAGTGCCTTTTGAGAGCAGAGAAAATAAAAGGCACGTATTGCATGTGACAAAGCAGGAGTGCAGAAGGTTATATGGATGAAAAAAGACTTAACGTTGTTATCGCAGCACTCAAAGCAAGATTGTGCCTAGCAGTAGAGGAATCCACAGCCCTCAGCTAGCAGCAGGCCCCCCTGTAAAAAGCAGGTGAAAAATAGGTGCCAAAGAAGAGTTACGAAAAGCAGTGTGCCAAGCAGGGAGCTGGCCGGGAGGGAGTTGTGGTGCTGCTGGATGCATGGCTGTGCTCCTCCTCCTCCTCCTCTTCAGCTTCACGTTAAGTGCAAAGCCCGATCCAGGTGGTGCCTCCTGGCAAGATGGAGCAAAGGAAATGCTGAAGATGTGGATCCTGCCAGGGCTTAGGTGTTAAGCCCTGTGAATGCTGAAGGCCCAGATAGTTGTGTGCATGCCCTGAAGCAGCAGTGCAGACCCCTGATGAGAGGGGAAGTTGATTAGCAGCAAGCTTTGCTGAGGGAGACGTTATGACTCCAGCTGCATCGACAGATAAAATTCCTTGCCTGAGGTCTTGTGCTTAGGAGAAGAGCCCTAAGAGACTGTGAGCACTGGGAAAGACCAGACTTGCTGAGCGCAGTCCCCTACAGTCGCACCAAGCAGGGAACTGTTTGTTTAATGCTGAAAATCCCATAAAACAGCCCCTCCAGCCTTGCATAACCCAAAGGCTTCCCCAGACTCAAGGCATATCTTTGTGGTGTTTTGCAAGCAAACATGAGCATGTGCTTTGAGTCCAAGTTAGCTGTAGTCCAGGAACTGTGTCAGTGTTGTGCTATGCTTGAGCTAATAAGCCTAAACTATGTGTTTTGGAGAAGTTTCTGAGCCTTAGTGCTTGAAGCAAATTGGGCTGAAACCCAATAGTTATAGAAATGCAGGTTACATTAAGTGCCCGTGATGCACAAAATGATAGTTGTAAGCACCATCAGTGGGGAAAAATGTCTTGGACCTTGAAAAGAGAGGAAACTGGGGAAAAGACTGGTAAGAGCCCATGTTTCTGTGGCTGCTTTGGATGTGCAGTGTCCTGCAGCGGGCTCCGCTGTGCTCGCGGTGCCGCGGGTCACTGCGACCCGAGCAGCAGTGTTACATGCAAACATCTGAGGCCTGTGCTGTTCTGCCTTCCCTCCTGCTGAGGAGAGGGGCCCTGTGGTGCTCCAGCTAATCACTGACTTTAATCACCTCTTGCATTTCCTTTTTTAGATGCAAATGCTGGACAAGTTTCCAATGGAAGGAGGTCAGAAGGACCCCAAGCAAAGGATCATCCCTTTCCTGCCAGGTAGGAGCAATGGGCTCCAGCAAAGATGATGCTGGTTTTGGCATGACAATTCATTTTCCCTAGTATATATGCCCACACACCTGCTTTAGATCTTACCTCTTGAACCATCATAGTAGTAGCAAGTTATTTGGTCAGCACTGTGCCCATTAAAACATTTATATTTGTTAGAAAGGGGCCCAGTGCTTGGCTAGCGTAGCACTGCAGACGGTGAGGAGGCTCCCTGGGAACTGTTTGCAGGCTGGTTTTTCCTGCCACGTGTGACTCCAAGGGCTATGCAGAGAGAAGAAAATAGCAAATTGAATTCCAAATGATAAATGGAGCTGTTTGACAGTGATGGCTTCTTCCTGGGACGTTTGGGACTGGTTGCTCCAAGGCAGGACGTGCGTGGTGTGGCGCGTGCCCTGCCACAGCCCAAAATGCAGCTTAGCATTTCTGCGTCCCTAGGAAGCAATGTAAAGATCCATTCCAAACTTTTGAGGATTAGGGATTGCTTGTAGCTGCCTTTTCATGCTGCTATTGAGAGAGGGGAAAAAAACACATGGCAAAAATACTCAGGCAGAGGAGACCCTGATGCTTTTTCATACACCCATAACTAATGGACTTGACAACAAAGTTGTCTTTATCCTCATCCCCAAGTAGCTAATGGGTGCATTTAGAAATGTCATGGTACCATAATCGCTTCCAGTGACTGTCAAGTCCATTTAATGTAGCCCTGTGGACTGTGTTCTGCTTTGTGTCTTTTTCTTTAGAAATGTAAAGCTGCCTAGTGGGGGTTTACTTTTCTTTGACTGGCATGAAGAAAATAATTTACCCTCTTTCACAAGTAAGAGCTGTATTGTCTGTATTCCCCTTGGAGGTATTTCTGATGTTGTCTTGTCCCGGGATTGAAACTTCAAGAAAACCAAAGCACACCTGACATTAGTGCAGAGGAAAAGCCATTGCTCAACTATTTTTCCCTGCCAGCAAGGAGTGGGGAGGAAAAGTGGAAGCCAAATTGGCAAAGGGCATAACTTGGAAAAATTGGAATTACAGTTTGGCTGTGTTGCACTTGTGAAGAATTCCCACCAAAATGCTGCTGTTTTTGGAAGGGTGCGATTTGGCTCAGGAAGCCTGTCCTGAACACTGATCCTTGCAGCTCACTCCTGAGTATTTATTTCTTCTTCTTTCTTTTGAAATGGTTCCCCTTTGCTAAGTGTCATGTCACTGGGATTTCCATTGGAGGATAAGGGGTTGAAGGCACTGGGGGGAAAAAAAAAAAAAAAAAAGGCAGAGTTTTGTGTTATAAAGCAGTTTGGGGATGGTAGGATCGCCATGCTCTGTACTGCCTAGCTAGCTTAGTTTGTGTGCAGACTTTTGTCCTTCTGCCCTAGTCTCCTTTCTGCTATAGGATTAAATAATACAGTTTTCAGAGGTCACCCTTTGACTTAGAAAATTGCTAGAATATGCTTCCATTAGTGTTTTTTTCTTGACATACCGTTTCTGGAATGGCTTGCAATAGCTGGTAAGAGCGAGCGCTGCTGTGGTGGTTTTGCCACATCTTCTTCGTGGTGAGGAGGTGAGTGAGAACAGGGTGGCCTCCTCGTGAGCGTGGTGGTGACGCAGCTGGCCCCACATGGTGAGGTGGCTTGAAAGTTGTGTCTGCCCCCAAAAGACGACTTCACTTGGGAGTAGGAGCAGGCGCTCAGTAGTTACTGGCAATGCTAGAGGATGTGGAAAACAGTATAGTTCCTTTCTGGATCAGTTCATGGCCTTCCCGGTTCAGGATGGCAGTAGAACTTTTTTGCTTAAAACTGAACCCCGACTGGCTGTCTCTGACTGCATGTGCCTTCAGAAAGAATTCAGTGCAAACAGGCTAAGATCTTCCTCTGCTAATTGTGCAAGGGGTAATGGGGTACACTTAGACGTGCTAAGTCAGTGATGAGGTTCAGCTTCTGAATACCGTAGTTTGTTTCCAGTCCCCTTTTTTAGCAAAATTTTAGCATCTGAATTTCATTACTAGTGAAGATTTGGCTCCAGTGGGCTTACTGAAAATATGTTGCTTTCTGGGAAGCCAGTTCTATGGTAATATTAGACAATGTGGCCACCAAAGTACTGAAAAATGTCTCCTGCTACCCTGTGCGTCCTGCTGCCGCTGCATTCTTAGCAAACCCCTAAGCCTCAAGCTCAGGGTCAGCACCGCGACCTGAGGAGATGCCATCTGGGATTGTCTCTCAGACTGGTTTCCTGGAATGGGAAGAAAGCCCCGTGATTACTCTGTTATAGCATCCAGCCCAAAGGAATGCTGTTCACTTTGTGTTACTTTGTGTGTTCCTGTTGTTTGTTTCATAGATTCAACTTGGAAATTTCTGGAGGTTTTGGGGCTTTTGCAGTAGGTCTCTGATTACACCAAAAAATACTCTTGTAGGTGGAAGCCCTTCAGCTCACTCATCTCTTCTAAGTTATGAAGCTGAATTCTCAGAAGTGGAGTTTGGAGCCAGGGGTTCTCCTTTCCAGGGTGTCAGCACAGAACTCATCCTGTCGCACAGCTTGGTTTTGTCAGGTTCAGACTGGCAGTACGTTACGGCGCTTAGCACTGTCCCTGCAAATCCTGTGCTGCCATATAGGGGAATTTGGAAGTGAACTCTTGGCTACTTCTGCTGGCTTTGAGCCACTGACACATCCTGCCCAGCCTCGGGGGGTGTTGAGGATGGCGCTCTGAAATGCCTTTGGCTCCCCCAGCACACCGTGGTATCCGCTGCGGACTCCGGCCCGGCCTCGGGAGCCAGGGACGGGCTCTGTGCAGGGCAGTCCCGGCAGCTCGGCCCTTGCACGGAGGAGCTGACCTGCTAAGGGTTACATGTTTGTTGGCTGGGGACATGATGGTATGGAGACCCCAGGAAAGAATGAACTAAGAAAACAAATGAGCTCACTTGGGCCAGTTGTATAAGGGCTCTGCCAGATCTTTCAGGAAACAGCTTTTATAAGGAGAGTGGAGCCTTCCAAACTTTGTACAGCCCAAGTGGCCTGGAGCTCATTCTGGCCAGTCTGCTTCTCTCGAAATGTGAACCTCCGCAAGGAGGGGTTGCCTGAAGCTGAGCTAATGTTGGCTGTAAAACTGCTTTTTAGGAAGCTCGAGCTTACAGACAATAGCAAACTCCCAAGGAGAGGGAGGGAGAAGAAGATTTGGTGGGATCGCTTTACAGAGCAGAAGGATGCCTTCTTTCTACCCCCTTCCAGCGTGCTGACCTGCTCGAGGTGGGCATCAGTGCTGTCCACATGGCTTGAGACTTTCCTCCCAGAACTGCTGTGGAGATACTAACAGCTCCCTGTGAAGGAGGAGAAGGCAAGTCCCCCTTTTCCAGCTGTTCGAACCTCTGGCTCCATCATGTGCAGTTGCCCATAGATGGAGCAGTTACAGCTCTCTGCTTTAGCAAGACGGCAGCTCTGCCCCAGTGCTGCTGCATGGACCATCTCAGGCCAGCTCGAGCCCATAACCAGTAGCTGCCTTTTCTGTAGGGCCTCAGCTAATGCTGTTAAGGTGCAGACAGTATTACCCCAGGGAGAGTACTGTGCTGAAACAGTTGCTCTGCTTCTCACCCTCAAGCTGTCTTTAAATGAGCTAACTGAAATTTCTCTCCATAGAAAGCTGCTGCAGACACTCGGAGGAAAGGCCTTGGGATTGTTTTATTCCACTGAACTCTTACATTTCTCAGTGAACTCCTCTTTTGGTGAGCTGTGATAGGGCTTTGGAGAAGGCTTTGGATCATCTTTCCGTGCAGTTCCACTTTCAAGAACATGAAGATGATGGCAGCCTGCTGAGAGTGATGGGATGGCCAGAGTTACCCTGGATTTACTAGGCAGAAGGTTGCCCCTCCTCCTCTGCCTTCCTCTCTACCCTTGGTCTCTGCCGGGGGTTGGACTAAATGATCTCTAGGTCCCTTCCAACCTCTGCCATTCCGTGATGGGAACCCGAGATACTGAGTTTTGCCACTGAGCTAGGTGGGAAAGAAAAAGCACCTGTTCTTGCTTCAGCAAACCACCCCAGGGGTACCCTGAAGAAATTTACAGTTTTAGCCTAGGCCAAAACCTTTTTCCTGTATCAAAGGCATCAAAGACAACCAGTAGCATCCTGGGGTCTTCCTACTCTTTTTCTTCCATGGACGCTTCAGCTCTCTTAAGTTTATCCTCTGGACAACTCATCCAACACCGGAGAGATATCCCTATCTCCTGTTTTGCCTATATTTCTCTCAATATCAGGCACAAATAAGACTAACTGTTCTCCCTCCATTTGATCTCAAACTACAGGAGTACTTGGAGCTGTCTCTGTAGACGTTTGTCTTTGCTTCAGGCATGTGCAACTTCATGCTTATCATACACCCAGGCCAGCTACAAAGGCATTTTGCTGGTCCCCCCATCTGTTTTTTTGCTGGGGTATCCTCACAGTTCAGAGCTTTGCCAGAGGTGCGAAGTGCAGAACTCCCACACCTGCTTCCCCATCCTAGAACTAGCCCACGTAGCTGGCTGCTTCGTGGGCTGCGACTGATTATGTGCACACTTGGGGCTGCCTTTTTTTTGAAGTGAGTTTGGATCCCATGCCAGGGAAAATCTGGAAGTGATTTGAAAGGTGCAGAGAAGTGAATTCTTTCCGAGGCAGTGGGGCGGGGGAGAGTGGGGGAGAGTCCTTCAGGGTAAAGCAAGAGGCACAGACGTTTTTCCACTCTTGAAATATCTGGCTGCTTTAGTGGCTGTGACCAGCAGGGTGATGTGTTTTAGGTTCTTTGCCCCTCTAGCTTGATTAAGATCCAGTAACAGTCTTTGGCTCAAAAGGATCCTCAACCATTTTGCTGGTTGTAATGCCTCTGCATCCTTTCCTTCTGTTCCTTGCTTCCCGGTGTAACTTCAGCTCTGCCCGGAGAATTCCCGTAGGAGTGAGTCCTATTACCCTCCCTGTCTGTTTGGAGAGATTAACCCCTCTTTTAGGCTGCCTGCTCTGTCTCATGCTGCTGGAGACCTAATTCCTT